AATATGATATAAAGAAAGAAATGACAACCACTCAATTATCAAAGTGCCATTGACGGAACAAATATGATAAAATCTGAAAGTCTGACTGGTATAACGGGATTTTAGTAAGAATGAGAGCTTTGAACAAAAACATATTCAGTGTTTATCTTTTGTCCGACATAACAGATCTGTTGACATGATTCTTTTCTTCATTTCTGTATTTAAACGCAGGATTTATAAAAATAGTTATGCATGCATAATATTGTCAAATAAAATTAATCCACATCATAACATTATTTTGAAGCAAATATCCATAATCCTTTCGGTTATAATTACAAATGGGATAATACACGTGCTCTGGTTAATGTTGATAGTATTTGCTTTTTGTTTGTGTTTTGATTTATTCAATCATGATTTAATTTTGGTTCAAGAACTTTGATGAATCTTTACTGTTAATATAGTTTTTGACCACTTTATTACGATGAAATCTTTAAGAAATGAATTATATTGTGTACGAACTATAGTCTGCCACGTTTTATATACATATTGGGTTTCCCGATTTGAAATCGGCAGAGGGATCCGAATCCGAGGAACAATTACACTTTGTTTATTGCAATACGTAAGTAAAATTTGAGATTATGCTCCCTTCGATTGAGATCCAAATTTTACTTTCCACCCATGACAATTACAATTAAATTTAATCCACCATTTTCTACATAAGGAAATGCCTGTACCAAGTCAGGACGATGACAGTTGTTTTCTATTCGTTTGATATATTTCAGCCTTTGATTTTGCCTTTTTATAAAGGACTTTGTGTTTTTAATTTTCTTGGAATTCGTTATTTTTGTTAATTTACTTGTTAACACTTACTTTTAAAGGCATCTCCTGCAATAGGAGTCATCCGGAAAGGAAGTTTGGACATTATGAACGCTACTGGGCAATAAGGGTATATTTTATAGGCACGGAAATCAAGCCTTGCAAGAGGACCCATCGAAGAATTGCTAAGGGTTATCAACGTGCGAAAAGATCGACACTTTCTCTACACGAGACATCAGATTTAATGTCCCGTTCTGACCCGTCGTGCCTGCGAATAAACACATCTCACACAGTCAACAAAACATCCTACTTATGAAGGTATTAACTGCATGTCGCAAGACGAAGAAAGGGACAAGTATTTCTACTGGCTTTTTTTTTTTTTTAACTTTTTTAAATTCGAGCGTCATTGATGAATCTTTTGTAGACGAAACGCGCATCTGGCGTACAAATGTTTAATCCAGGTATCTATGAAGAGTTTATTTCATACCGGTTAACAGGTTAATCGGTCGAAAACGTATCCAAGTAACCGGTTAGGTAAAAATCTTTAATTTGACAACACTATTACAATCATGATGATAACAAAAAATGTCTTTCAAATAATTTTGCACTCTTTTTGAAATGACGACTTTATAGATAGGTATCCAGCAAAGCTTCTCGATTCTTATCGTTATCGTGCTGATCTCTTAACAAAAAGATTAAATAAAATTTGAATTTTGTTTTCATAAATATTACCTGGCAAAGAAACGTTTTTGGTAAAGAGAACACTTTAGGAAAAATCAAAACGGAAAGTCCCTTATCAAATGGCAAAGTCAGAAGCTCACATCAAACGAATGGATAACAACTGTCATATTCCAGACTTGGTACAGGCATTTTCTTATGTAGAAATTGGTGGATTAAATCTGGTTTTAGAGCTAGCTTAACCTTCCACTTGCATGACAGTGGCATAACATTCCATTATATTGACAAGGATGCGAGAACAAAACAAACATACATAATAGGTAACAATGTAAAAAATAGGGGAGCAGCAGACCAAACAAACAAATAGGATTATGTTCCTTTTGATGTTTCAATGTAAACATACGGAAATGTGTATATAAAATCCACATTCTGTCTCCTCGTACGCTTATAGTTAATGATAACATACTTAATAGATAGGGGAGTACTGCATGCAGTGCCACATGTAGTAATGAATTCCATCAAAGGTTTTAAATAATGATAATAGTTAAAATAAGTAAAAGAATGTACCTATTTAAGTACACCTTTTTGGGTGCTCTCGTCTTCAGGGACCATCATGATGTCTTTTGGAAATTAAACTTCCTCGTGACTTTCAAACCATAAATGCTAGCACAACAGGGACACTCAAGCGTAAATAAATGTTTAACATGTTATAATAAAAAAGTGTGTGTAATAAAGTCCTTAAACACTCCGCAGACGGTTTGACCTGATTTGCTACAAATCTTCTTTCCACAAAGTGTAACGAAATAATAAATATTACTGCTGTAAAAGACATCTCCTTCGGATATATGTACAAAATGGCACATCACTAAGTATATTTGCTGTTTTGAAACTATATAACAGTATGAGAATTCCGTAATTCATAGACGAGCAAAAGGTTCATAAACCTCAACTAATATCCATCAAATTAATAATTTTAAATTATACCAAATTATCGATACTAGTGTTCAAACGCCTCAAAATTGAAGTCTGTATGGATAAATTTGAACCCTGTATTATTTTATGTGGCATATATAAACGCACACACACACACACACATCTTTTACTTAACAGGTACTCACGTATTATTAAGTTCGTAGTAATTATACATCAAAGACAAAATAAAACGTGGTATTAAATACATTTAAGTTTATTCATTTTAATTTTTCTTTATTTTTTGCATTACCAAGTGGCTGCAAGTTGAATTCTATGAAATGAAGTAAATTAAACATTTATCAAAAACAAAACAAACAAATAATTGTATCCGAATTCAAGCAAAAATATTTATTCCCTTGAACTAAATTCATACTATACTTATCTTTCTTTTTTCTTTTTTCTAAATTTTCCAACGTCTTCGTAGCTTGGTTCTAAACAAATGTGAACTGTTAAAGTGCACAAATTTTTACGGCAAACTCTCACATGCTCGAATAAGAATAACAATAACAAGAAAAGACGACTCGATTTGCAAAGCCTGTCAGTACAAGTATTTGCTAATTCAATAAACGAATTTAATTTTAAACTAATTAAATTCTATTGTTAAAAAGTTTTCGTTATTAATATGCATACTATGTTTGTCATTGAACGTTTTAAAAATACAATATCAGATATTCTTAACACCGGAGGACCTTTTGATTGTCACTTTTCCCCGAAAATCTCAAGTTTATCTAATATGATTCTCCCGACATCCGACCCACCACATATAAAACGTATGGAGAAGAATAATGATAACCAACGGGATATTTAGGGACGTTGTACACAAACAACAAATATGTATTTGTTGTTTGTGTACAACGTCCCTTAATACGAGATTTCATAATGTCTTATGCAAAGAAGAAAATATTTTAATATATATCGAAAATATATATATATCTATATTACTTATGTATGCCATATTTCAATCTTAAGAATGTTTATCAATGATATATTTCAATCATAGTAATTATACTAGTTATACTGTTACCAGGTTAGTGAGATACAAGAGAAGGTCATGAGCACAGTTGAAACCTGCACTACCAAGCAGAACACTGAGGTCACACACGCGCAAATTTCATCTCGGTAGATCTCGGAGGGGATGTGACGATAAAAAATCATAAAAAAATTCCTGAATAGATATGGTGCTTCATTGCTTTTAGTGATTAATGAAGTTTAAAGATCTTTCTTGTTTAATTGATAATTTGTTTCGAATTAATTGCAGTTATTATCCATTACAATTTGATTTCAAGATATATATTATTTGTTTGATCGCAATTAAACAGGGAGGATCGAAATGTAAACAAATGTTCAACCCTTCCACATTTAATGTGCATGAAAATGGTCAGTGGTTGTCTAACGTTACATGTGTATGTTAGAGTCATTTATGGCATTTATATTGAGTACCGAAAAAATAACTCCATATAATAAATGTTGATTAACTAATATTAGAAATAAACAAACGAACAAATGGAATATAAATCGTATAAAAAATAAGGTGACAAAATACCGAACTCCAAGGAAAACTCAGAACAGAAAGTTCTTTATCAAATGGCAGAATCAAAAGCTCAGACACATCATACGAATGGAAAACAACCGTAAATGTATGTTAATACAGTACCTATTAGGTTGGGTACATTTACTGATTGGTTTGCAGTTCCTTTATAAAGATTTAACCGGTATATATGCCAAACCCAATAGTTGTTAGCTAAAAAGTCCTCGACATTACAAAATGTTTTTTACAATTCAAACGAGAAAACCGATGGCCCGATTAATGTACAAAACAAACAAAAAGGAAAAAAACAAAACAAATATGATACAGCAGTAGTATTATGCGTAAAACTAGCGGGTCTCATAAAGAGAATTGAATGACGTTTTCATGTTTAATCAGAATATTAGGTGTTGCTCATAATACTACTGAAGGCGTAATGATCAATAGACCATTAGCAAGAGAAAAATCTTTTTTAAAGAGAGCATCATATCGAGGAAAATATTAGAAAATACTCTAGGCAAACAATAACCATGATAACAGTATACCTCACGTTAAACCAAAATGTGGTTCACACGATACTGTTTTAAAATATAGAGATAAAGGTAGAAAAGTACTTAAGTACGTCGCCGTAGTTCTGCTAGTATAACAAGTATTATCTACATATAATTAAAACGAGATTTAACAGAAGCACTGCATTTATAATTTAGTGATAATAGACTTTTATAACTATCTTATTTATTTTATTATTTTCAATTTATTTTCACCAATTACCATTTTGTTAGATAATATTACTAGTAAAACGCCATGAATCTTTGATATATATATATATATATATGATATGTTAATATTTTGATAATGCGTTTTATCAGTAAGAGGTATATTTTGTATAATGTTTAATCTTTAAACGTCAAAGGGAATATAAGTACCGGAGTTCTTGTTATTTTCCAGAGAGATCACAAACAAAAATTAAATTATGTTTCTTATTTCATAACGTCGTAGGGTATTGTTTACTCATCTAAAAGTTTTTCTAAAAGAATCAGAACATCTTATTCAAAGTCAGAGAAAACATTGGCTAACATAGTTGACAGTCAGTTTACTGAAAATGGAAATGTGTTTGCTTTTTATAGGATTAATTTGTTTCGTACTACTTGCAGGAGTCAAATCAACCACTACCAGAGATGATATGATAGAAACCCCTGTGGTCGATAATCAAAATGTCCCTTTGCTTGCAATGTTTGACATGACAAAAGTAAACAAGCGCATCAAGGAATATATATCAGTCGCATTCGAAAATATGAAAGGAAATTTAACGTTGAACATCAAGAGGGAAATTAAAGACTATTTTGATGATATGAAACAGAATTCCACTGATGCTATTTCTGAAGGTAACTGCATTTATTATATTTCGTATATACGGTAATTGCTTAAGCACCAACCATTCATTTCTTGTTAGGACATTGTTTTTAGTTTTCTGGACAAATTTTTTTTTTCACTTTTTACTTTATTCCAAATACAAATGCTTGAAAAATAAGGTATGTTTTGAATTAATCTTGTAATCACAATCAAAATCAAAACCTAAAAACATACAATATTTAAGGTAACAGGTACGTAATTTTGCGATTTTATAGGCTTTCTATGGAATTTAGGAAGAATTTACACTCCAATAATATTGTCTTCATATGTAAATACCATAACTTGGAATGTCTCACAAAAGAGCTTGGAATAAACAGCAAAACTGGTAATCCTACATATTCTTTAACATCATTTAGAAAGTATAAAATTTTACAAAATCACAAATCTGTCCTTTCTTTTGGTATAAACATCAAAGAAAACGAAGAAAATCTACCGTCAATATACTTGATACCACAACTTCACAAAACTCCTTATAAAGAACGGAACATAGCTGGATCATCAAGATGTTCGACTAAACATCTTTCTAAAGTGCTGACTACTATTCTTTGTACAGTGAAAAAAAATCTTCAAAATAATGTGACGAGATATAATCAACCAGTAGTGTCAATCAGATGTGGATTCTTAAAAATTCTAAAGATCTACTGCTAAATCGTAGACCACAATCTCTGCAATTTTGCAGCAACATTAAAACTTTTTATTTTTTTGCTTTACACTACTATTCAAACAGAGCTTTTTCTATAAAAATAGGAATCGTAGATATAAATTTCTTGTTTTGGGTTATAATAATTCTTATTTTGTGAAAAACCACACTGATTCTATCAGAAAATACACTGAAGATGATAATATCAAAATGCTGGACTTTGATCGACTAAATATTTGTTGAGTTAGGAGGATTGATATTTCAACAGACAGTCGGTATTCCAATGGGTACTAATTGTGCACCCCTACTGGCCGATTTGTTTTTGTACTCGTATGAAGCTGAATTTTTTTTTGAACATATTTTAGTCAGTATTTACATCTCATATATCCAAGTGAACTTGAAATTAAGGATACTTCTGATACTAGAAGGATTGATTCATACCTTGATATTTTCCTGAATATTGACACAGATGGACGACTTCACACTAAAATTTATGTCAAAAGTGACGATTTCAACTCCCCATTTATCAATTTTCCTTTTCTCAACAGTTATAAACCCTCTGCCCATCGTATGGTGTTTACATATCTCAGTTGATACGTTATGCTCGTGCACGTTCACACTATACGGAATTCATATACAGGAGTGTGCTCCTTACGCAGAAACTGCTCCAACAGAGTTATGAGGAGGAAAGATTAAAAATGACACTGCGTAAATTATATGGACACCATCACGAATTGGTTGATCTATACGATTTATCTGTGTCTAAACTAACTAACGAACTTTATATCACGTCTTAGATTGTGGTTAACATCTAAGTCGTCTGGTCTGCTAAGTACCGAACGTGACCTATTCCCGAATATTACTGTGTTGCCGAGTATAAATTCGCATTGCTATTAGACATGTCTCGGTATTTATATATCCTACATTCATGTATTCAGTTATGATGTTGCTTTTGTAAGTCTAATTGGATATTGTGTTATGTCTTATCGTTTGTGGTTTGAATTCTATTTTTATTTTCTATATGAATGTAAAAGTTAAGATAATTAATCAGCTAATTCATTTACATGTATGTGATTTTTAGTTTAAATCAACTATATACACAGGATTTAATTGTTTTTATACAGTTTTGATTTAGAAGAAAAACCGACATGGTTTGAAAATACAAATAAATACACCATTATCAATACAATTCTATATTAATATGTTTGTAATGGTAAGCAAATACACAAAATACCACCATTACAAACTCAATCCCAATTTTATATTCTATTTTTAGAAATTTACCTGTGCTAAAATAAACGTCCCTCGGTTTTGTTTTGTGACCCGGATTTGTTTTCGTTCAATCGATTTATGACTATTGGACACGATATACTACTGTTGCCTTTATTCACAGCCAGTAGAACTGCGGAAGAAAACATTAAAAAGGAAATTAAAGACTATTTTGATGATATGAAACAGAATTCGACTGATGCTATATCTGAAGGTAACTGCATTAATTTTATTTCTTATTTACGGTAATTGCTTAGGCACCAACCATTAATTTTTTGTTGGACATTTTTTTTTTCTCTGGACATTATTTTTTTTCAAACTTTAAAAAAAACCCAAATTATTCCAAATTTTAATGATTGGAACTATTTTTGCAGGTATATTCTACGACATTTTTTGGGTTTTCAACAAATTTGGAATGACACAATTCATTTGAAAAAAAGTTATAATCGAAGTTGTACGCGTGAAAAATAAGGTAATTGTTGAATTTTTTTGATAATTACAATCAAAATTATAGCCTCAAACATACAATACTTAAGGTAACAGGTGCGTAATTTTGCAATTTATAGGCTTTCTATGAAATTATGCAAGTATCTACAGCCAGTAGATTATTTTCGATAATCTAAGTTTGTTTACCCTTTGAGTAAGAACAAACGGAACTTCTTACATAAAGCAGTAATCATGTTTAAAATTTGAAATAAAGATATGATCGTGCTACATTAGCTGATTGTTCATGAGACAACTGAACTATCCAGTAAAGACAGGAGAGCACAAATGCAAGTCACTGCATTTCACCAATCGGCATTAAACAATGCAAAACACCTTACCAGTAAATTACAAAAAATATGAGTATTATTATCAGTTCAGTCAATGAGTCACTGTACCAAGTCAGGAATATGACAGTTGTTATCAATTCGTTTGATGTGTTTGAGCTTTTGATTTTGAAATTTGATTAGGGACTTTCCGTTTTGAATTTTCCTCGGAGTTCGGTATTTTTGTTATTTTACTGATCGAATATCCAGTATATAACCGATAACTAATAATTAGGTAACAAAATTGCATATGCCTATTTAACATTGTGATTGTAAATGTTTTTTCTCCGTTCAAATCAGTCTCCAACCGTTCAGTCAAAGAGCTAAACAAAATTAAAAGAAGAAAAGAATTGTGTGAATGTGTATAAATTTAAATAAAAACTACAAAATTTAAAACAAATTCTTCGGATAGTAGTAGTCTCCTCTCATCTTGATATTTGTTTACATTATACATGTAATAGGTTGCACTTCCGAAATATAGACAATGCAATTTTCTATAGGAACTCCTTTTACGGCTAAAACTGTGCCACTTTTACTATGAAGTTTCGTAAAAATTATATTCTAGAATGGAAAGTTCATTTGTGCTACAATTTTTTTCAAAGGTCAAAATATAGGACTGTGTGGCATATTTTCAACATTTATATGCCCGAACTTCTAAGAGTTTAAACTTATACTAAAATTCTGTACTCCCCCTGCCATCACTTTTGGTCCTCTTTAGAACTCAATTTCGCCGCTATCCATGTGTATTTATACTGGTAACATTCCCAAGTTATGTCTCTATGGGATGAAACAAAGAGATCATATCTGGGAACCAGTACGTAAACAAAACAAAATATCTATGAATACTAAATATCTCCCCAAAAGAGGCGTGGATTGTGAAACAGCTGTATTTACAAAGTGCAACCTATAGATATCTTTTATATTATGTAATTAAAGGTGCATTTCAACAAATGATTAATTCCACAATTAATATTTACATTTATAAAATTGATATCATAATAATGGTATGCTCATGGGGGAGATATCCCTTGGTGCCAAAAAATGTATCTTTTTGCGCAACAACTAATATGCGCATATAATACATTTGCGTCACTGATTTTTAAAATATCTTGTATCATGTGTGCCAAAAATTTAGTACACGATTGTGCCAGTTCTTAGATAAAGTATTATTTTACCTTTACACGATACGATTGAATGCTGTTTTTTTGAAAGAATAAAATAAGAAATAATCAATATGAAAGCAAACACCTGAATGTTCCATTAGCAAATACATCGTATGCATTCCAACAAATTGTCAATACTACAACTTGTAATTTGTCTGACCTAGATACATTGTTCTTCATTCTATCTTACATTATTACATTAGTTGACAATACATATTTGTTTAGGGGCCAGCTGAAGGACGCCTCCGGGTGCGGGAGTTTCTCGCTGCATTGAAGACCCATTGGTGGCCTTCCGCTGTTGTCTGCTCAATGGTGAGGTTGTTGTCTCTTTGACACATTCCCCATTTCCATTCTCAAATTTATTTTACACTTATAAAATCTGCTGTTCATTAATATTGATCGATCTTCTAAATCAAGATTGTGTATGGTCTCTGCGATATCGTTTATGTTGCCCTTTTTTACAGATCATTCGGAATAATTGACTTCTTACTTCTGTGAGTCAATCCCAATGAGATATAACAAAAATCCAATCAAAACAGTAATACATTTGCTCATGTGTATATACGCATGCAGTATAGTCTTTTGTTATACAATACAACCTCATAAATATCCACTCTTCAGTATGCAGCAATGATTTCATTTATTCCTTAAAATATTTTATATTATAATTTACACAAGACTGATATATATATATACCAGGTAGATATATATATATATAAATAGATAATAAACAATTTTAGACAAATATGCATACAGGTAATTTGTTTCAAATGAAGTCCGTATTCTGGTGCAATTGATACCTTATAGAAATAAAATTTGGCGAAAATGATAATCTTAAAATAACAATTGTCGCAAAAGGACTGTAGCCGCTTATGTAATAATTATTTTAATTTGATATTGCAACACAAAATTACGATGGTTAATTTAGAACATTTTACATAATAAAATGATGTTGGACAATCAGATTTATTGCTGTGAGACAATCAGATCCCTAAAATTTTAAAAAGGGGAATAACCGAGAATAATCCCTTTATATGTATATGTTATATCAGATTATAAACTTTCACTTTATTTTTATAGATATATAGATGCAAACAATATGTACAATTTCGTGTTGCAGTACAATTGACCTGTTTTCAGTTAGTTTGAGAATATAAGAGACTTTAATAATTAGCTTAACCCTTCATTTTTTTGTCATTTAACATTTTTTTTAATTTATGTCTATACTGAACTTCTTTGAATCTGTGACCGTTTAAAATTATTTATTTTGATTCTACACGCATTTCAGCGCATAATCATCGGGACTGCTCCGACTTGGATAGAAAACATTTCAGAAGTGGAGTGTACAAAATCTTCCCGAAAGTTACAGTTGGATTTAACGTGTGCTGTGATATGGAGACGGATGAGGGAGGATGGACGGTAAGACTTTCTCTAATTGACCGTTAATTTATTTTTTATTAACTTTATGTTTAAATGCAATTTTTTTTAGACATTTGCATTTTAATTATTTCCAACTAATTCTATTATCTAATATTATTCGTAAGGTGACAAATTATTATAGAACCGTAAAGTTACTCTCCTTTTAAACACTATGTTTGAACGCAAATGAACTGTGGAGTTTTGTTTGGTAGACTGTTTGTCTTCTCTTTGTAGTTCTTTATGACCTTGGTATTGTCTGTTTTTTTTTTCGATTTATGACTGTGATTGTCTACTTGGTATATTCTGCATTTTAAAAACAAAATAATAAAATGTGTCTGTTCGGTTTCAGTACATTCAGTTATTTATGAAACAATGATATTTTATTTCGAGTGAAAGGCAATGCTGAGTATACAAAAATGCTACAGCAAAAATAGGACATACAGCCAAGCACACTATAAAACACCGGCAACAAAAAGCGCAAATACCAAATATCTTACCATAAACACAAAATATCCAAAGCCTTCGATTAATGACGACGTTCCTATATTGGCAACCTGTCGATTATCTTTCGGTTCTAGCAACATTTTATTGAAACAGTCTATTTTAAAAGAGGGCACTGTTTCGGATTTTTGAAAGAATATCTTTTCGATGTGCACAAAACATTCGTTGGTCAGATATCATTACCAATAAGTTATTTCTTACATATGTATTTCTGGCCTTTAATACCTACATATAAAGCAAACAAAATAGTTAAAGGACTGAACACATTTTAATCTTTCTTTAGCAATTTCATGGCTCTTAGCATACATCCTCTGTTTCAATTAATAAATAAGTATATTTATTTAACTAAAACTGGGTTTGCAGATAAGTCAATCAAGCGGAACCGAATAAAACTCATTAAAGATACCAGGCTTATAATTTAGTACGCCAGACGTCTAAAACAAAAAACTGATCAGTGACGCTCGAATAAAAAACATTAAGAAGCCAAACTCTTATCAGTGTTATAATTTTTTGGCTTAGATCGATTTTAAGTATAGTGCTCCTATATGTTTTATTTTCTTAACTTCCAAGTTCTGAAATTTGTGAATGCATCATGTGTAATACCAACTGGGGATGCCCGGGTTTTGTGTGTCGCTTCTTTAATAGTTTGGTTAAATTAGTCAGATTAACTGTGTGTCTTGAAGCTAGCATGAATAGTGTAGTTTGTTTTATTCACTTTTGATTATGTGATTCGGATTATATAGGGGGATAGTTCGAAATTGAAAGTGTTTTTTCGAATGTCCTTCTTGGCATTTTGGTAAATATTTCTGGAAGGAACACCCCCCCCCCCCTTACCACCACCATCTAGCTAGACCGATTTTAACAGTGCTCGAATGTAGTGCTATTATAATAATTCATAGCTTCAATAAAATTTGTATGAGGCCAATTTATCAACCATCTTATTGATCATACGTTTCTCAATTTGTAAAGAAGATCCGGACCAACGACGACAGCAGATAAATATGATACAGAGGCGGATTCAGGATTTTAGGTTAGGAGGGGGGGGGGGGGCGCAATTTAAAATTTCGCCGATGGAAAGGGATGCGAAAAATGTTTTGAGGTAAAATTATCGAAATATTCTTTATAAAGCTGAGGACAACCCATGCCTTGCAAATTTTAGGGAAGGGGGGTGGGAGGGGGAGGGGGTCGCACGCCCGCCACGCCCCGCCTGAATCGATCATTCGCTTAATTTAGTCTAATATTGTAATATGTCTCTATTAATGCATATATGCATAAGTGAAACGTTGTTCTTATAAGCTCCTCCCATTTAAACCATATAACAATTATCATACTACTAGGCAAAACATTTTATGTTTCATACATATATATTTTTGTTCATATAATTAGTTTTAACATTTCATATCATAGGTTTTTCAGCGCAGACAAGATGGTAAAGTAGATTTCTATCGCGGATGGACAGAGTATGTAAAAGGATTTGGTGATGTCAAAACAGAATTTTGGTTAGGTCAGTCGTTTGATCAATTTATGACAGGCAAACAAAATCTAAACAAATGTTTCCTACTTTATAACTAAAGACTAAATCGAAAATGTCCTTCGTATTGTTAAATTGTTAATAGAACGGGTAGCTGACATTAATTAAAAGCTAATTATGGATGAACATTTGAAATTTTGCATTAATTTTTGAAAGTCCAGTGGCAAATATTACATGCATTTAAGGATGGGAACATGTCAAGGGGATATGATTATGAATCCTGCTTTGTACTTTATCGACACGCATATCAATATTTTAACGTGCTATTTTACAAATTTACTGTGCAAAAAGAAAACCACCGAAGCGGTTCAAAACACTAAAATTAACTGTAACATCCCATAATGTTTCTGTAACAAAGATGGATAACTTTTTATTTATTGTGATTGGTTTTCTATATGTCATTACGAGGGGAAATAGTTTAAGGTAAACAAAGATTAAGTGTATGTGAAGAGTATTCAGAGAGTGAGAACCTAGATTCCGTCAAATCACGAACTTTAATACACAACACTACTAGTATTGAAATGTTTTATTTAGATTTGATAAAGTAACAAACGTTAGAAACATTATTTATACCCAAAAAAGCCAAATAACAGCAAATGTTCGGTTATAAACACTGAATGAATGAAAACATGTAAATTTTAATCATATTCGACTAAATGAAAAAAGTCAAGATTTGCATTTAGGGGGGGGGGGAACAATATTTGAAATAATTATCTTTATACAAATATTTTATTTCCCTTTTTCTGTGATTTTTTTTTTATTAAAGGTAATGATAAACTTCATGAATTAACATCTCAAGGAAGTTATGAACTCAGGGTAGATCTGGGGGATTTTAATGGCGATAAGGCATATGCCAAATATTCTACCTTCAACATCGGCGACCAGTCAACTAACTACACACTGACCGTAAATGGTTACAGTGGAACCGCAGGTAATATTTACATTTGTTCAATGATTATTGGACAAGGAACTTAAATAATTCCTATTGATTATGTTTGTTTATTGTTGTTTGTGTTTTTTTAGAAGTGGGATCTTCTTTTAACAATGACTGAATCAGTATAGGACACTTTAATACACATATTGCATCAAAAGGCAGAAAATGTAGGATGATACAATTTTTGCAATTTTACGTGATAAGTACTCCGCTTTTATGTTTAAAAAATCTGATATAACATGACTGTACTTATTTTATTTTATTTTATTTTTTTTCATTTTTTTATTTCACATTATAGTAAAAACACCAGTTGAAAAAATACGTTTTAATTTTGTTATGTTAATTTTCAATAAAAAGAATACCCCGAACCTTGTATGTACGAATTAATAGAAACTAAATGAGCCGGTACGACACGAATTGTCCCGTATGCCGCCTTATTGCACTTAGTCTAACTCGGCCTGTAAATTTTCAGTATACACCGAGGTACCAAAAATTATCTCCAGATCTGCAGCGTTACAAAAAAAGTCCGAACAAGTACAACGTTCATTAAAATGTCCATGGACCGTTATACTGACAAAATCGGTCACCCAGAACAAAACACAAACTCAATCTATAAGTCCGCATTATACAATTATACAATAATGTTCGAAAAACAGAGCAATATCCGGCATAAAGAAAAAGTCATGAAAACTGTTTGATTTTGGAATGACGGAATGGCGGACACTATAAACATCCACCAATAAGTTGCACGGTTATAAACATATTATAATGTATGCTCAGCAAAGACCCATCGAAACAACATCTGATTGAAAAATTTAATAACACTTTTAGATATTTAGATGATATATTGGCTCTCAATAATGACGACTTCAGTATGAACACTAAAGAGATTTATCCTGCCGAACTGACTTTAAATAAAGCTAATACTAACAATGAACACTGCCCTTTCCTGGATCTTGATATCTTTATCTTTAACGGGAAACTTAATACCAAAATTTATGATTAAAGAGATGATTTTTCATTTCCTATTGTTAATTATCCATTTTTAGATGGTGACGTTCCCTTGTCGCCATCTTATGGTGTTTATATATCTCAATTTGTTCGATTCGCTCGTGTATGTAACAACGTATTTGTTTTCAACGAAAGAAATCTCTGTATTACTGAAAAATTATTACACCAGGGTTTTCGATATCACAAACTAGTCAAAACATTTACTAACTTTTATCATCGGTACAAGGACATCATTCGTAAATATAAATCAACATGCAGACATCTTATACGTTCAGGTATTTCACATCCAATATTTTATGGTAATATTCTTTACAAAGCACAAAAATGTCGGCATTCACCTCAAAAGCTAACCAAACCTTTAAACAGACTTGATCGGAAAGTATATAGTTACGATACTGTTGTAAAGTCTTTAAGGATTGCATATTTTGGTATTAATATTGATTCACTCATAGGGTCTTTGCATCGGAAATAAACACATTCATTCTAAAACCAGTTGTTGGCATGATACGGGTTATGTTCTTCTCATATATTCTATGATGGTATGATACTAAACCCCTAATGGGAGGGATTGTACTTGATTTTCATATGATGAAGACATAATCTTTAGTACTTGATTTTCATATGATGAAGACATAATCTTTAAATCAGTTTAATTGAGGTTTGGAGCTGGCATGTCAGTAACTGCTAGTAGTCCTTAGTTTATTTATGTATCATTGTCATTTTGCTTAGTTTCTTTTGTTACCTATTTTGACATCGGACTCGGACTTCTTTTAAACTGAGTTTTACTGTGCGTATTGCTATGTGTTTCTTTTTTCTACATTGACTAAAGGTATAGGGGAAGGGTTGAGATCTCACAAAACATGTTTAACCCCGCCGCATTTTTGCGCCTGTCCCAAGTCAGGAGCCTCTGGCCTTTGTTAGTCTTGTATGTTTTTTAATATTAAGTCATTTATATGTTTTGGAGTTTAGTGTGACGTCCATTTTCACTGAACTAGTACACAATTTTATTTAGGGGCCAGCTGAGGACCACCTCCGGGTGCGGGATTTTCTCGCTGCATTGAAGATCCATTGGTGGCCTTCGGCTGTTGTCTGCTCTTTGGTCGGGTTGTTGTCTCTTTGACATATTCCCCATTTGCATTCTCAATTTTATTATAGTTAATTCGCATTTATTTACCAATTTTTATATATGATTTATATTTAAAAAGCTTATTTTGAATCAATGTGTCGAAACATCAATCACGAATGCCACTCTATAAATCAAACTGGAGTTCAATGCTGTCTGTTTTATTTTATATCAATGTCGATTTTACATTTTTGAATTTTATACAAATATAGGCGATGCTCTCAAGTACCATAACAAACAAGCTTTCACGACGAAAGATAAAGATAATGACAGCAATAATTCCATGAATTGTGCAGAAAAGTATGAAGGAGCTTGGTGGTATTATAACTGTCATTATTCTAATTTAAACGGACTGTATGTGGGAAATAAACAGGATGACAAAAGCATGCGTTGGTGGCAATGGAAGAGAAGCCAGTCAATGAAGACAACATCGATGATTATACGTAGGATATGATCATAAAAAAAGGCAGCTTCCATTTTGAAAAATTAAATCATTATGTCTACTTCTTTTGTGAGATTTTAGTTCATTTTTGTTTGTTAGTGATGTTCACTTTGATAAATGTGTTGAATAACCCATTGGTCGGGTTGTTGTCTCTCTGACGCATTCGCCGTTTCCATTCTCGATTTTTCATGTCGTAAAACTTATTTTATGATGTTAGCTAAATTTTATATTTCTTAAAAGGTCTATATTTCTGCTTGTGAAATGCTTGTCCACGAAGGTATTACCAGCCCAGTAATACATTGTTATTGCGGAAATTGTTTGAATGAAATATACAGTTATGTAATTTTATATATAATTTTAAATCAAGGAATTATCTCCCTTATGCTCAGTTTTGATTTCTCGTTCGAAATGGCGTTACTTTGGGTCTTTATTGGTTTGATCAGATCTTAAACGTTCGTAAAAGTTTTGGTTTTTCAAAGTTTTGGCCTCGAGAATCACTAAAAAGACATCTATTATCGAAATGTACATCTGGTGCAGTAAAATTGATGCCGTTAATATGATACATAGTTATTATTGATGGTTTTCTTATGGATGTATGTTTACACAGTTTTTGCTGCTGTTTCGGTTGTTTACAATTTTGCCAATATAACGGAACTATAAACAACTGTCATACAAGTGGGAGGTTAAGCTAGCTATAAAACCAGGTTTAACCTACCATTTTCTTTGATCGGGAAAATGCCTGTACCATTTAATGAACATATCAGCTGTTTTCCATTCGTTCCGTTGGATGATGTAGGCTTACGTGTGATGTTTTCAGGTTTTATGGAATTCCCTCTTTTGGAATTTACCTTTGAGTTCGGTATTTTTGTAATTTCTTTTCTTCAGTGGCTGTCGTTAGTTAGTGTGCTTCATAGGTGTTTCTCGTTTTTTAAGTAGATTAGACTGTTTGTTTTCCTGTTTGAATTGTTTTACACTAGTCATTTTGGGGCCCTTAATAGCTTGCTGTTCAGTGTGAGCCAAGGCTCCGTGTTGAAGGCCGTACTTTGACCTATAATTGTTAACTTTTTATACATTGTGAATTGGATGGAGAGTTGTCTCATTGGCACACATACCACATCTTCTTATATGTATGGTCATAAGCGTACCCGATGCAGATTATTCATAAAACACGATTGTGCGCACGGGATCATCTTGTATTAACATCTTTGAGATCAATAACACGAACACACATACACCTAAAAGTGATTAAAATGGACGAAAAATAATTAAAACAATGATCAATATATATTGGATAACTAAATACTTACTCAGTATCCTATGCCATATGTCAAATTGCAACCAAAGTATTGTATCAACCGTTTGAAATCCTGAAAAACAATGAAGCTGGAAATCTATGTAGAAATCGGGCTAGACAGAAGGTACAGTTAAGCATAATTTTGAGTTGGCATATACATTATTCATAA